TTAGGGTTAGGGATGAATACACATTGGAGATCAAGGTATTCCTCAATAACTTCTACTCGAGAGGTGGACTTCGTAGGTTCTCTTTGGACGCGGAGGGTGAAGGGCAGGGATTTTCATTTAATTGCAAATTGCAACTCCTCCACTAGATGCCACTAAATGCTGCACACTGAAACTTGAATAAATAAGAGCACATCGAGTGAATTTCTAGCGGCATTTTATAAATATTCTTGATGTGGTTTTTGAGACCTGAAAGATGTTATTATTTCAAATCCAGAAAATACAAAAAATATTTTTGAATCACTGTATATGACTTTAAAACCTGTCTGTGTTCATCTGTCCAGAATGATTTCCATCGAGCCATCCAGAGGACCCACTCTGCTGTGTTCAACCAGGTGATCATCCTCGTCTGCACCTTGATGTGTCTGGTTTTCACAGGGTGAGTGAACATGGTGAAACGCATCAGTACAAAATCTAGTCCCTCAACCTTCTGCATTAAAAGCTTTGAATTGCTTTGTTGTTTAAATGTGTAGTTTGCCAGAAATCAAAAATGAACAGTTGGTAGCAAATTGAATCTAAATTAGAGATTGAAATGTTGGCACTTGAAAGCAGGCATGGTCTGCTCTCAGCTCAGTGGTGGAGTCAGATGTGAACAGCTTGAAGCAAAATGAAGAGCGGCAATTGTTAAAAGTAGGAGTTTTTATATTTTGAAGTAATGTAGCAATAGTTACTGGCAAAAGCAAATAGTAAAATATAAAACTTTCTAGAAACTAGTTTGTGACGATCAGCAACGAAAATTGAAGGAACACGTGGTCATTTAGCAGATGCTCTAAAATGCAGGTAATGAGTACAAGAGAACAAGAAAAAAAGTGTTAAGTGAATAAACTGTGTAAAGGATTTCGGCATAAATAGCCATTGTTAATCCCTTCTTTTCTGATGTAGGTGCTTTCCACTCTAACAACACCAGTTTATCTTATTAAAAGCTGCCACTTCCTGGACCTTATCTCTTTGTCAACCTTACGAGCATTGGCAACCACCCAGTTAGACATTCTCACTCTCCCTCCCCCCTCAAGGTTTTCTTATCAATAAATAAGCACAAGCAGTGAAGTGGAACTGCCAGAGCAATCAGTGGTGTCTATATAAAAGACTGAGAAATACAGAGGAGGAGGCTGTATTGACTTTTCGTGAACTTTGGTCTTGAGAAGATTGAATTCTGATACCCAGCCCACCAGACAAAATCGTAAAACCAAAGCAGATTTCCTTATTAAAATATCTCTGCATGTGTTTTATTTTAATTGTCTTTACCTGTGGGAGACGTATCTGATGATGTTGCTGATCCAATCGGTTTTCCTGCAGAGCTTGTGGTATCCAGCACCTCGAGAGAGCTGGGAAGAAACTGACCTTGTTTGACTCGTTCTATTTCTGCATCGTCACCTTCTCCACTGTGGGCTACGGGGACGTCACGCCACAGATCTTGCCGTCCAAGCTGCTGGTGGTAATTCTCATCTGTGTTGCCCTGGTGGTCCTCCCACTGCAGGTATAAACCAAAATCAGCTACAAGGGTGCTCTTAGAACACATGCCTCTACCAAGGCTAATGTCTTATCTCTTCATATCACAGCAGTGTTTCCCATTGGTTATCTAAACTGTGGTGGCTCGCCATTTTCTGCTTTGTCCCACCACAGCTTCATGAACCAAAAAATGTTTACACAAGAAATCTGTAACTTGATGCTCTGCTCCGTTGCTGCATTTATGGACGACATCACTAGCTTGTGAAGAAAGTTGTTACTGTCTCTTACTCACTGAGAGCAAATACAAAATGTACTAAGGTTCTTACTTCTGATAATTTATAGTTTGGGGAAGAAGTTTACAAATCTCACTCAAAATTCTGGCCAAGTCATCCTGGGTCACACTTTCCAAAACCGTCTGCTCACTGTGTTATTCATTTGAAAAGAAGAATCTGAAGTGTTTAATTGGGTGAGAAACCAAAATTAACTACTGCTGCTGGCAGATGAATGCGTCACCAGTTTTATCCTCCAGTGCTTCACCATCTGTGTTCAGGCTGCAAATCTGTCTTTCTTCTATTACTTTGTCAATTCTTGCTGCTGTTGACATCACAGCAATGCTGTTGTCATTGTGTCAGTTTGAAGAACTAGCATACCTGTGGATGGAGAAACAGAAGTTAGGAGGGAACTACAGCCGCCACCGGGCGCAGACGGAGAAGCATGTGGTGTTGTGTGTCAGCTCGCTGAAGATCGACCTGCTGATGGATTTCCTTAACGAGTTCTACGCTCATCCCAGACTACAGGTATAGTGGAAATAAGAAATGGCCATGTTTCTTTAACTGGGATCGTGACCTCCCACTTTTTACTTCTTGTTTCAACCATCAGCTTTGAAATGGTTGTGATAAGATAAGTGACAGATTATAGGTTTCAATGTACCAATTTGGTTCAATTTAATAATATGATTTACTTTCTGCAAGAATCCTGCAGTTAAATATTTTACATTAAGAAAATGCATTTGTATAAGTTATAATAATAAGAATGCACGATATAGACATTTTCAACCACTACCAATAAGTGGTAATTACCTGCTTCTTGTAGAGGATATCGATAACTGATGATCTCACATTTAAAAAAGACAAACATGTAACCTAAACGCTGTCACTGTATGTGATCCAGAGCACTCCTGTGCATGAAGGGATGCCAACGATGTGATAAAACTAATGTCACTTACATTGGTATTGATCAGACCGTGAATGTGTCTGGTGACCACGTCATACAGGGAAGGCAGAGACATGTCTGAGCTTCCGCGAGTATAACGCTGTTCCATTAAGATTATATAAGGAAATATTTAATATATAAAGTAACTGCAGAAAAAAGGCAGTTTAAAGGCTCTGTATCAATTTTCTCAGGCTACTTTTTATGCTGATGGATCAGCTCCCACACGAGTCCATTCCACACAGTTTTCTGCCAAAGTTAGAAACACTTTGGTTTTGTGCCATCAGAGACATTTCAGTTTGAGCAGGTTTGTCTGATCTCGTCTCTCTGGTTTTTGAAGCGGGCATCTCTCAGCCAAACTGTAACTTTTGAGTGCTGCGTATTCAGCCAGGCATATTTAATATTCCTCGGGGATTTGAAATAAAAGCACCCGTGTCTCTTTGTTGTGCAGGACTATTACGTGGTGATTCTCTGTCCGACAGAGATAGACATTCAGGTTCGCCGCATCCTCCAAATCCCTCTGTGGTCCCAGAGGGTCATCTACCTGCAGGGGTCTGCCCTCAAAGACCAGGACCTGATGAGGGCCAAGTGAGTGAAATCAGTGGCATGGATTCTCACATTTAAGCAAACACAAGCACATATGAAAAACAGATTGAATAACCTATGTAGTTATGTCCTATATGTTTTTAGCAGTTGTGAGTGCCACTGACCTCTCTGACTAATTCAGTATAATTATCTGTTTGTCATTGATCGATATCTACTAGGTATTAATACCAAGTTCTTAAACATTCACATCTTATTCTTTAAAGGTTTGGGTTTCTGTTTAGCTCATTATGCATCAGTAACATTACGCAACTGTGGATGCACTGTATAGCATTGTCCATACATGCATCTGTCTGTCTGTATATCCGTTCCATTCTCACGAACACTGGCTGTCACTAACGCCTTCCGGGAACTGTTTTAAATTAGGCTCACACGTCAGTTTGGACCAGAGGATGAAATGAAACAGTCTATAGTCTGGACACATATTGACGTAAAATGTTGTGAGGTTATTCTAGGGCAATTTATAGTCTGTGTTAGAATCTCTCTATAAGGATATTTTTTATATAGCTAGAAGGGCAGTTTGAGTTAATGTGTGTCTTTGGCCCATACCCCACCATTCCCCAGTTTTGATAAAATCTGTTCTGTAGTGTTTGCGTAATCCTGCTAAAAGCAAAACAAACAGCAATGAAAACATAACCTCCTTGGCAGAGGTAATATGAAGTATAAACCCTCCACCTTCGCAGAGCCGTCTAGAGCGTAGTTAGATTGTGAAGTCTATTTGGTTGACCTCTGTTTACACATCAGCGTAATAGGATTTCATCCTGCGTTTATCATCTGCTCTCATCCCAGGCCACATTCACACACCACAATACAAACTGTGATAGTACTCAATGAGACATGTTTGATCTTCCAGCTCTGGCTCAGTTAATGCCGCATATTGTTGCTACAGCATCACCGGCATGCTGTTCCCTGATTTATGGTTTGCTTTGGGGGATCGTTCAGCTTATTGGCAGATGCTGTTTTGCAGCAGGGGGATTACATGCTATTGCAATTTCTCGCAATAATACGTAATCACCCAGCCAGGTGAGCTTAATAGACAAATCACTGTTGCTTTTCTGAAAGATTTGAGTTTCATCATCTCATACTCTGGATCCCATTGAGTTTTCTGTCACAAATGAGTGATTGCGTGTTCTGCAATCTCATTTCAACCAACAGCTAAGTTGTCATACAGGACTTGGTCTGTAAAACTTTTCTTTCATTATCATGAGACCTTGGCTTGTTTTTCTTTAAAGCATTGATCTCTTTAAATAATGAGTTTTCTGTCCCTTTTTTCTTATCACTCTCTCTGTCGATCCTCAGGATGGATGATGCTGAGGCCTGCTTCATCCTGAGCAGCAGGAACGAAGTCGACCGAACTGCTGCCGTGAGTCACATCCACGGGAATTTGTCGAAGCAGTTGTAAACTCTGTTTTCATATCCAGCATAAAACCTCTTTAAACGTTAGAGATTCTCATTGTGATTATTCTAAGTATTGAGAGCACACTGAGTCTCTGAGGCAAACTTCGTAGTATCGAGTCTCTGGATGAGTAAAATAGAACCTTTTCTCATCCCACAGGATCACCAGACTATTTTGAGGGCCTGGGCTGCAAAGGACTTTGCTCCAAACTGTCCCCTCTACGTCCAGATTCTCAAACCAGAAAATAAATTTCATGTCAAGTTTGCTGGTAGGTGCAGGGAGATCACATAACTTCTCAAATACAGTCATTGTGTCCGTCTATTAGATTTCCTAAACCGACTTATCATTCAAATGTATCTATGTCATTCAGATCATGTAGTCTGTGAAGAGGAGTTCAAATATGCAATGTTGGCGCTCAACTGTGTTTGTCCAGCCACGTCCACCTTAGTCACTCTCTTGGTTCACACCTCCAGAGGACAGTGAGTATTTCTTTACAATGATTATATTTATTTGATGTATTTATTTACTGTCAGTATGTACTTTGATTTACTTTTATACTCAATATTAATATACTTTGAGAATTGTGTGTAAGATTTAGGTAAAAGTGATTTATTAGCAGAAATTGAATATAAAATAATCCTAGTTGTTTTTATAGTGTGTGATCATCTACTTTGTACAAATTGTTGTTTAGGCCCTTTACATTACATCAGGAGTGGGTCCTCTCTACGGAGGCTGCCATGTTTTATTACAGAAGCCCAAACTGGACAAACTAGAAACCTTTTTGAGTTTTTGATGAAAACCGAAGCTACCACAGGTTCTCTTTCATGTTGGGAAGGGGAGGGTGAGGGCAGGGGTATTCAGCTGCAACAATCATTCACACCACTAGATGTCACTAAATTGTACACACTGAACCTTTAAGATATTCCACAATAACCGATGAAATCTCAAAACTCAACTTAAATTGAAAGCCAGTGAGAAAAAGTGGGTCTTAAGCAATGATTCAAAGGTCTAAGCAGTTCTGATATGAATAAGTAAGCTGGTCTAGTGATTAGAGCCACTGCAAAGACCTGGTCACCTCTGTTTTCGAGTCTAGATCTCAGGACATCCAGAAGCATCCGTTTGGTAGAGCTGAGCTAGAGCAGCCAATCTGTCTTTTGATTCCTGCCTCCTCCAGTCTGCATGTTGAAGTGTCCTTGGGCAAGACACTGAGATTTTCTGATTGATGTGCAATGTGCTTCATACTATAGTGAGCGCTGTATGAATGTGTTTGTGATCTGTGATGTGAATCACTTTGAGTGCTCATGAAGATTGGAGAATATAATGCTGCCCATTTTATTACCTTGTGAGTTGTCCTCCTCTTTCGCACTAAATCATATTCATGTACATCCACAATTTGCCTGTTTGCTTCCAGCTCACTGAAACAATGCTCCTTTCTTTTTGAAAAGCTCTTTTGTCATGCATACCTGCACACCTTCGATTTGCACACATAAAGAAAACAAAGAAGCCACACAAAGAGCTGAATTCTTGCTTATTCTACAAAGATCTTATGATCAGGAGAAAATGATTTGTACCCGATAGAAGTGGTGATAAACACGTGGGGATATTTCAAGCAGACTATTGTCTTCAATTACTTTCACAGGTGAGAAAGTATTAAACTTACTACTAGCTGAGAAGCATCGAGGTCTCGTTAAGAGCTACAGAGAGTGCTTTGTTGCTGGAAACAAGCAGCACCACCTAAATCTACCAGAGTGCTGTTACAAACTGACCCCAGAAAAACTTTTCTCTGATATTATTTTGAAATTTAACTAAAGATTTCAGTGGATCTCACCCTGACATAACTTATTGATATCATTTCTGCCTCCAGAGCTGCTCAAACCCTCTTACATGCTGATATCAACACAGCTCTGACAGCAGTGTGAATGCGTAATATCCTTCTGTGCTGTTAGTCATGTGGACAGATTCAGTTCCAGTTGATTCATGATATCAGAGTAAAATGACTGATACTCCTGCAGTTTAGTTTAGATGGTTTACAGTTTGTCCCCATACAGCTGCAGAAACTTGTCTCTGTCAAGTCTGTAAACATTACATTGTGCCTTTCACTTTCTCTGCAGAGGGACCATTGTTTCTTCACCGCTCTCCACAGCAGAGACAGAAAACATCCATTTTAACTTCCATTATGGGAACCTGTTCTGCCTTGTGGCTGTGAATGTGACAGGAATGTTAATAGGTGGCTCTGTGGCACAATTTTATTTTGAAATGATTAAAAGCATGAGGATATACGGCCACAATAAAATTACCTTATAGTTTTTTCATCGCTTTAGTTAAATATTGTGACTGTCTTCATCGACACCAACAATCTGGCTATTGACCTTATCCTGAAGAAGACATTATTTCAATTATGATGCTTATATGTGTTGATAAAAGATTACAATTCCTGTTTACATGTGTCACAGCGTAGTTTGATTGTGTGTCACATCTACATAGAATATTTTTTAGAATATTCTATTTTAGAGAATATCCCCATTGCGATGTTTACGTCCATCCAGAAACTTCATAAAACACATGGTTTGGAACTCACACCAGTAAAGTGATTTCTTCTTAGAGCCTCTTGTTTACACTCAAACCCAGAGCATTTGTCGTCAAGCACGTTGTAACTGCTGCACATGCTGCGAAAGCTTGTATACCTGACATGTACACATCTACATTATACTACTAAGGTCTGAATACTCCACCATGTCTTAATTTGATAATTCGGAGTATGACCTTATCAGGGTCAAAGTTATCAGGCAGTGTCTCATTCAGACCATTGTCTTCATTGGGTTGATATAAGACTTGCTGTGAAGAGTCATTGTGAGTAAAATGGAGGAAGCTCAGGAGTACAAGGTCAGGAAAGGTCATGTTCATAGTTTCATCGGGAGATGTGACATTCTGAGTTTTAAATGAAGTCTAATTCAATGTAAAGGTGCTTTTTTAATACTGGAAACGACTCATGGTCCTTTTTTCAAGTCATAAATATTCTGATAATGCTTTTCCAGGGAGGGGCAGCTGTCACCTGAGCATTGGCAGAAGATGTACGGACGCTGCTCGGGAAACGAGGTCTACCACATCCGTTTGTGTGACAGCAAGTTCTTTGGGGAGTATGATGGAAAAAGCTTCACCTACGCCTCCTTCCATGCACATAAGAAGTTAGTAAAACTCTCACACTCTCATAATAATTTATCTTATTCCAGAAGTTGCTGTATTTTAAAGTAAAAACTTCCCAGGTACGGTGTATGTTTGATCGGAGCAAAGAGGGAGGACAACAAGAGCATCCTCCTCAACCCCGGCCCCCGCCACATCATGTCTGCCACTGACACATGCTACTACATCAACATCACCAAGGAGGAGAACTCGGCCTTCATCTTCAAACAGGAGGAGAAGCACAGCAAAGGTCTGTCCGTCTCCGGCCTCTACGACGCCCCCTCCAGGCTGCCTGTGCACAGCATCATCGCCAGCATGGGTGAGAGTGAAAACCCGGACGCAGAAACAATATACGATTTTAGTAGATGAGCTAGTGAGGACGAAAGCAGACTGGAAGATGGAAGATCGTGTTTATAGTGTCACAAGAAATGACTCAGGTGGCAGATGCTTGTGTTTGATTGGCTGAGAGGGTTTTCGTGTAAGAGGAGAAAATGGATGCTTTGTTGTTTATTTACTCAAAGCCGCACTCACAGCGAACGCTTCTGAACGGTGGCTGCCTGGGTGATGTCGTTGCTCTCACTGACTGTTATGCATGAATCTTTTCCGTACATGCTTTTTTACTTTGTTGGCTGAAAATACTGTGTTGTGCTTTTTCTTTGACCTGTGAAAGTTGATCAGGCCACTTCATATGGTAAGTTTGTGCATGACGCATCACTTTCTCTTATTTACTACTTTTTAAATTCTCACAATTTATAGTTTATTGTTGTAGCATAGGGTTTTTATGTTTTCATCTTTGTTCAAACTAACACTTGTTCAACTAATTTGTTTTCAGTTTTTATCTTTTATCTAATATTCATGATATATGTTTGGACCATACGCATCATATTACAAACTAGAGCCCCATCGGATGATATCAACCTTTCACAGACGTATCGTTATCAGTTTTTGTTTGCTGGAAATGCTCTGATAAGAAAATAGTTGTTAAAAGAATAAACAATTCAGAAAATATGTCTGTTTACATTTTGCATGCAAGAATTATTTTGAATTCCTAAATTCAAGTTCCAAATTTATTATATATTTGTAATTAATGCCAGATCGTAAAGTTTTCCAGCCTCAGTTACATTTCTTTGTCATAAAGGTTTGATAACAACATCTTAGGTATTCGTTATATCTATTTGAACTCCTCTAATATCAGCGTCTTCCTCCAAAAATCCATATTGTTCTGGCTCTATTACAATAATATGATGTAGGCTAGTGGCGTAACTTTTGAAAAACTAAATATCAGCGCTGTTTGCATGCCATTCGTCAAGTACAAGGACGTGATTCAGAAAGCAATACATCTTCTCCACAAGGTCAAGCAGCTGAGCTCTATTATATCCAATATGAAAAGGGCTTTTTCCAGCAGGGGAATGTTGGCTGAGATAAAATGGTCATGGTGTCATCATGTGCAAACATTCACCGTTGACTTCACAGCACTTGGCAGTGAAAGTGCTGCACATGCTGTTTTTTAATAGCCTTGTCATTTCATGCTCAGTGGTAAACACCGTAATAACGTGTCATGTGACTTTCAGGAACCGTAGCCATAGATCTCCAGAACCCCGATCCGCCCGAGGAAAGCAATAAACTGACCTTGCCGACGGAGAACGGAAGCCGCAGGCCGAGCATCGCACCGGTCCTCGAGATCGCAGACTCCTCCGCCATTCTGCCCTGCGACCTCCTCAGCGACCAATCGGAGGATGAGACCAACCAGTCGGACGAAGAGGGTTCTGTGGGGTCAGAGTAAGTGATGTGGTGAGGGTGTCACACAGAAGGGGGCTCGGAGCAGAAGAGATTTGGTGGCTTTGTCGAGAACAGTATATCTTGTATTGCAGCAGTAAAAAAGTGAAATGTCCTCAGTGCGTTTGATTGATCTCCCCTCGTCCCGTCGTCCTCTCGCTGCCTCGGTGGCGGTAAGAGGTGTTTGTGAATAAGTGTGTAATCTGTGTGTCATGATGCTGTGAGGTGCAGAGTGATGAATGTGCAAGTCATGACTGGGTTGTCCTCACTTTCCTCCTGAGTGAGGCTTATGTTGCGTCCTTGCATAAATCCTGATCCTTCAACTCTCGGCTGTCAGCCTGCCAGACATATTGTCACCACGAGAGTCCAGCGAGTCCAAGAAATCACTTTATCTCAGCAGATTGTTCCCATCCTCTGCCTCTTTATGTGGTTTTCATCAGACTATATAAGAAGTTCAGGACGGAGTCTGCGTTTGTTGAACCAAGACATCTCTGGGTCTCATAAACTAAAAGACAGAACCAGTCCTCCCCACCTCTCAGCCTCTTATTGCTGCGATCCATTGAGCTTGAGTAGTTTTTAGGAGTTTTCAGAAGCTGTGGACGGAAATCAAATAAAACGCAAAGTCCAACAGTGCCACCATGTGGTGATGGGGATGACTTTTCTCTAAACAAACTCACAATCGCTTTTATTCACAAACTATAGAGGGCAGCGTGAAACTGATGAGGGTAATTACAGCGACATATAACAAATCAGGGGACATACGACCCAATTGAGACTCAAAATAAGTCACAATCAAAAAAGTAAACACTGCAAAAAAACATTGTAATAGTTGGTGTAGTCGGTATTGAACGGGAAGGAGTCCTTCAGAATTTGAAACAGGAACTGAAAAGTAGAAACAGTGTAATGGCAGTCGTTTGTGGTGTTCAATGGTTTGATAAAATAAGGGGCTCAGGGATTTATTTATGACGTGTAAACACTTCTATCACTATGTATCTGTACTTTTTCTTAAATCGCAAGAGCTTGGAAACTCATTTAGAGGGAAGATAGTTTTATTGTTTGATAACAACCAGTAAAATTACAATATCTGCAATCACACTTCTCACTGACAAATGTTTGATTCTTTCCATCAGTTTTGTGAAGGGCTACCCTCCTAACTCGCCCTACATCGGCAGCTCTCCAACTCTGTGCCACCTCCTGCCGCAGAAGGCTCCGTTCTGCTGCCTTCGCCTCGACAAGGTGAGTCCACCTGCAGGAAAACACTAATATCACTAAAAACACAGTAAAATGAGTCCCATATTTAAACTGTCTCATAATAATTCCCTGAACATTGGCTGGTGTTAAGCTCTGAGTCATACGTTATAAGAAACACTGATGTTGGTACAAATAAAATGAAAAAGGCTGCAGATTTAGGTACTCACTGATTATAGCTGAGTTTTGAACAAAAACAAATTATATTCTGGAGGTGAAAAATACTTCATTACATGAACAGATGTTAGTATCCAACTGAGTTTCTTATTTCATGATTAGATTGAAAATTATCCCACCTGGAGTTTTTTAATCATCATTATTATTATTCCATTATTTTCTCATCTGTGAAAGTGAGGTAGACACGTCTTGTGTTTATTAAAGCATAAACTGCTGAGTAGGAGATATTTTACAGCATGACAGAGTCTAAGTCATTTTCCAAATGCGGCTGAAAACTACAAGTAAAGATGCAGCACAAATGTCAGATAGATTAATTATACCTCTCTTTGAAACATCCCAGAAATGAATGACTAATATTTCCTGGAAATTTGACTAACTCAAGAATTCAAACAGTAACCTTGACAACATACACTTAATACCTTTTATTCAAATTCACAATATACATCATTTTATATTAGTTGGACTGTAGTTTTTATTAAAAGTGTGAAATTTGATGTGTCTGCTAAGATCTTGTCCAGTTAAAATCTGACTGACCTGGTTGAATTGTCTCTGTCCATCCAGGGCTGCACACATAGCAGCTTTGAGGACGCTAAAGCGTACGGCTTCAAGAACAAGCTGATTATAGTGTCTGCTGAGACGGCGGGAAACGGCCTCTACAACTTCATTGTCCCCCTGCGTGCGTACTATCGGCCCAGGAAGGAGCTCAACCCCATAGTGCTGCTGCTGGATTACCCGTAAGACTGTTGAACCTCCCTTACAACCACAGACTGAGTACAAAGATTCATGAAATGATGACTCCTAAATGATTGACGATTTCCCATTATTATTAGTACCAGTGGAAAAGGGAATCTGTGTGTGTGATTTTGTGTAAGAGCAAAAAAAAAATGTATTGGTTCCTTGTGGTTTTGAAATTGATTAGAAAAAGCTGCAGTGGTAAAACTACCAAATTGCTTTTATTAGAAACTTTGCTTTTAAGATGAAGACGTTTTTTTTTTTTTTTTTGCATTATTCATGAGCAAAAGTTCTCTGTGCAGAAGAAAGTCCACGTATGTGTCCGCACCTTTGTTTCTTCTAAATCACTGTGGGCTTCATTAACTCGCGAGCTCTGCAGAGAGCCAGGAAAGCTTTCAGGAAATTACAAAAACAATGTCATAATCTTTCACTGGGTGTCTCACAAAGCTAATTAGTCTGTGCTGCTCCTTCATGATGTTTCCTGTTTCCCGCAGGCCTGACAACCATTTCTTAGAGGCCATTTGCTGCTTTCCGATGGTTTACTTCATGGCTGGCACCATCGATAAGTATGTGGACTATAAAAACCTGCTCATTTGATAAAATAATTTAATGATATCTATCTCAGTAGTTTCTGAATTTTTAATGCAGCTGCAGAAGATTGTTGATTTCTCTTCAACAATAAATGTATCCGCAGTTATCCAGATTATGCAAAAACCTTCTGATGTTGTTTGGTGAATTAATCAATCAGGATTAGAACAATGTTTTATAAACTGAAGTATTTTCTGTTTTCTACTGTTTTTAAATCTTTCCAGTGAAAATCAAGAATGAGGTCATACATTGTTATTAAATAATAGTGTCGTCAGTTCTCCGTGACAGTTTAACCTGCCAGAATGTGTTGACCATTACAGATTGATGTTGTACCGTTGTTACCAAGAGGAGACGCTGTGTTTCATGACGTGTCATGAATTAATGCTCACTGTGTTTAGCCTGGACAACCTGCTGCAGTGTGGGATCATCTACGCCGACAACTTGGTGGTTGTGGATAAAGAGAGCACCATGAGCGCTGAGGAGGACTACATGGCCGACGCCAAGACCATTGTCAACGTCCAGACTATGTTCAGGTACAGAGAGACAGATGTGCAGGATAGAAACGCTCCATGAACATTAATCCTTTCTGTGGATGTTTGGGCACGAGCTGGAATTCTCATGTTTTGGATCAAATATGCACCAGATTCCATTTAATTGACTTTTCTCAGAGACGTCTCAGAGTAAATGTTTGTTTTTCTGAACTTTGCTAAAACAGAGAATGAGTTTGTCTCTTTTCCAAAGTTCTGAAGCTACTCTATTATTTAACAGCTCAGAATTAAAAACATGAATCACTGCCACACCACCAGCTCTGCCCTTAGCACAAAGCATCTCATCTCTCCAGTGACATCTCTCCCTCCCTCTTTGTCCCCACCACTCTCAGGTTGTTCCCCAGCCTCAGCATCATCACCGAGCTCACACACCCGTCCAACATGAGGTTCATGCAGTTCAGAGCCAAGGACTGCTACTCGCTCGCTCTCTCCAAACTGGAGAAGGTTGGTGCTTCTAGGAGGGAGCGCTCGTATAACTCTTATGATTTGTGTTCACCAGGTGCTTCTGTGCACATTGATGGAATATTTTTCATCCTCACTCCTGTTAATTTTTTTGTTATTTCTCAAAAACACACTTGTTAAATATTGATTATTATATTTGGTATTTTTAGAAGTAATCATATTGAATCTGTTTCAGCAAAAACTGAGCTGCATTTTTTTCACTTTCCCCAAAAATCAAGACGTAGAAGTTGTGTCTGTGATTTTCAGTTCTGTAAATGAAGAGAATAAAACTCCATGAACCGATGAAGATGATCAGTTGTACTTGGATTTAAGGAAGAAGTCCAGAAAGTGACAGTATATAAAGAAAGATTTCCTTAAGTTCTCCTGAGTCTTAATCAAAGTTTCATCACAGTAAATTCTACAGTTGTAGCTTCAACTTTCACAAGCCTCACAAAACAGGCCTTTTCATTTTCCTGCATCAGCCTTTCAGAAGATGTAGCACAAGAGCAAAAGCTCAGCATGCAAAAATGATAAAGTGAGATTTTAACATCTTGTTGCTCTGTTTCTCAAATGTATTTATCTGTTTTTTGATTTCCAGATAGAGCGAGATAAGGGCTCCAACCTGGCCTTCATGTTCCGGCTGCCGTTTGCTGCAGGCAGGGTTTTCAGTATCAGCATGTTGGACACGCTGCTTTACCAGGTAGCATGGAAGAATTCATGTCTGACTGAATGTCGAGTCTTTGAATGTTGAGCAGCTACACTAAAGTAGCACAAAGCAAGTTAAGCAAAGGGCTGAAAGGTTTGTCGGTATTTTCTAGACATTTTTACAAATAAAATAAAAATGATTGTCACTGATTCCAGATGAAAACATGTGGGATCATGTGATTTGCTTTTGAAATAATTGAATAGACCTGATTTGCTCAGGCATATATACGTTGAAATGTTCAAACCCTTTCAAGGTTTTATTTCTGTTACTCCATGAACTACTTTTTATCATATAAAGCACTTTCCGCTGCATTTTATGCTTTGAAAAGTGTTATAAAGATATTATTATATATTATTCTATGAAAATATAAAATGTAGTTGTCTGTCCAGGTTGTTTGCAACTGGGCTCCTTTTGCTTCTTACATCAGAGTCATTCTCTCTGTTCTGACAGTCATTTGTTAAGGACTACATGATCGCCATTGCGAGGCTTCTGCTCGGTCTGGACACCACGCCTGGCTCTGGGTACCTGTGTGTAGTAAGTACAGAAGAGCTCATGTGTCTAATCATGTGACTCGTACAGATGAGAGCGGGATGTGAATCCACTGGATCGTTGTTCTCTCTCCTCAGATGAAGATCACAGAGGAGGATCTGTGGATCAGGACTTACGGCCGACTCTTTCAGAAACTCTGCTCCTCCAGCGCCGAGATCCCCATCGGGATTTACCGCACAGAGTCGCACATGTTCTCGACCTCAGAGGCAAGCTCAGTTTCAGATGCTTCATTTCAGAAACCTCTCTTTGGCCTCTGCTGTGGCTTCTGGTTTGGCCTTGTCCCTGTTGCACCTTTGGCTTTTACCTCGCCTTTTTTATTTTTCTTATTTCCTCCCTTTATATCTTCTCTTTTATTTTTACTCTTACCTGAAGCCATTTACCTCCATTTTTACTGCCATGTCATTTCCTTTCTTTATTTCTGTTATTCTCTTCGCTTTCTTTTGTTTTCTTTCTTTCTTTCTGTTTTCCTTTAATTATTTTTTCATTTTTGCCTTTATTAAGTTTAAGTGTCCATTCTTTATGCCTCTCTTTCTTTTTGTCTCCATTTTTCTTTGTGTTCTCCAGGTTTGTTTTCATTTTTCTCAAGACAACAGGGAAGGAAATTAACATTTTTGGACACCACAGTTTTGGTAGTGTGTTTTTGAAATAGAAACCATCCACTAAATGATTAACTAATTTGGCAGGTTAGGTAAGTAGCTTCTATAAGAGATATATAGACAAACAGAAATATACCTACTGGCTGGTGTTAATTTCCCACTGTTAACTGGTGATAAAATAGTTAATCCACCATATTAACTATTTCATGTGCTGAATTTTGAGGCCTTAAATTATTCCGTTTGCTTTGGATGCCCCCATCTTTCATTGCATCTCTTTTTGTTTGGCTGTCTGTTTGTCCCTCTCTTGTTTCAGTGCAAGGACAGTTATGCACAGGTAAGAGGCAAACACGCTTGTTTTTGATTTCACTTTCAACATCTTCTGCTTAAAGTACGCAAAGATGAAAAATACCTTAATGGAATTTTTCTGGTATTTATCGATATCAAAAGTTTGAAATAGAGATTTCTTGAAGATGTCGATTTGATTTTAATGTCATACAGAGAGGTTGTATTTAGCATGAACGCTGTCCTCCCTCAGTCTCAGGTGTCCGTCAACGTGGAGCATGGTGATGAGCATCGAGAGCGCAGAGATACCTGGAAGGAGAAGGTGGCCCACAGAAACTCCACCACCAGCGACCAATCGGAACACCCGCTGCTCAGGAAGAAGAGCATGCAGTGGGCGCGGCGTCTGAGCAGGAAGAACGCTAAGCCATCAAGTCGAGCAGAGCGCATCTCGCAGCAGAGACTCAACCTGTACAGACGCTCTGAGCGGCAGGAGCTGTCCGAACTCGTCAAGAATCGCATGAAGCACCTGGGCCTGCCCACCGTCGGATACGGTCAGTAGATGTCAAAGTGTTTCATAAACTGACGAATGAAAGGTAATTTGTAGTATTTACAATATATTACAAACAAATAAGATTAAATATCGTATAGGTAATAATTAACGATAATAATATCATTTGTTTTTCAGTTATGATTAATCGTTATATGCCTGCAAATTAATAGTAATAATAATTATAATGTGTGCTGCAGATTGGAGTGTGAATATTTCATTAAGGTCACATCAGCTCTGGTGGAAGAAATAATATCATTGGTTGAGTTTAACTTCAGTGGTTAACGACAAAGAATCTCAGTTTATACACTTCACACATTTCATTTGCTAACCTTTGCACCTTACTGTGACCGTTCTGTCATTTAGCAGCAAGGTAGCGTCATCTCCAGGTTCGTAAGTCTTTAATAAATACACTTTTATTAATGACACACAGACACACATTATGTACATTATATAATATCCATTAAATGTGCTTCACCAAGAAGGATAAATTAAAAGGAAAGAAAATAAAAGATCTCTTAGGATAAGCAGAATATAAGAGTCATAACTACTCACCGAAAAAACTGAACTGTCTTTTTTAAATGTGATAGAAAAAGCTGATTCTCTTGCTCCGCCCACTTCTCTCGGCCAATTAGATTATTTCTGCCACAAGATCATCGCTGTGTTCGAGAAACGCACTTAAAACTCCAATCTGTGCTCCAGTCATTTTATCTCATCTTCAGAATTAAGATGCGGTGCTGCGGATCTTAATTGAGCAGATCATTAACATCACACTTCATTATCATTAACCATCAGAAAACATAATTTTCACATCAGACTCCTGCTCCATGTTCCACACACACCACACACACCACACACACACACACACACACACACACACCGCCACATGCTCATGATCATACGAACATCATGTGAGCACATCATGCATGAAGATGCAGGAGCACTAAACCTTTTCTCAATTGCATTTTCATCACAGACTGCAATTGCCTGCATTCTCAGCTGCTCACTTTTTTTTTTTTGTTCTTCTTCATTTTCTGTCCTCCCAGCTTCATGCTTTCAAAAAAGAAAAGGCAGAATCATGCTCCAGATGTGTTGCACTTGCCAAATATTATGTAACGTGTCAATTGAATACGTTTCAGGAAGAACCTCAAAAGCTCAAGATCTTCTTAACAACCATGAATGTCAGTGAGGATTATTGCAACGTGTGACAGATGAATAATTTGGAAGTGATTCTGTGCGCACACACTCTAACGCATGGCTTCTTTGCATCGCTCTCACCTTCTCCAGGAGTTCTTTTTGTTATGAAACTGCAAATGCATTCGCTGCCTGCCTGATCTTTTATTTTGTTTTTTTTTCTTGTTGTCCCTTCCCTTTCTCTGTTCCTCTCCCTCCTTTCTCTCTCTGACTCTTCTATCTTCCCTCCTTTCGGCTTGTAGAGGATGTTTCTAATCTCACTGCGAGCGATGTCATGAATCGAGTAAATCTAGGATATTTGCAAGGTAATTTATGTGCTGTTTATAACTCTTATCTACAACATGTGTGGTGGTTACGTTCCCGTCCTGGGGAGAAAGAGTTTCTTTCCTTTCACCAGCATCCATTAAAGACTATTGCACGGAATTTATCCTCCGAATTAGAAGATGTTTCTCACTTTTCCTTGTTTTGTTACAGATTATTTACATTAAATTATTAATCAACCGATCAGGAAATTAACAGTGAATGCCGTTGCTTAGAGTTGCAGGACATTTCAGAGCACCCGTATACAGAGGGGACCAGGCCGTCAGGTTAGCTCGTTGATCACAGTTCTGCAACTTTTACTGCATGAGTGTGTGTGTGTGTGTGCAGTATGAGTGTGTGTCTGCGCGTGTGTGTGTGTGTCTGCGTGTGTGCGCGTGTGTGTCCTGCCAGAGTTAGCGGTAGCTCAGCAGCCAATCTATCTCGCTCTACTATCTGTCTCTCTATGTGGTCTTCTCTCTGCATTGTGTTCCTGTGAGGTGACGTCCCAAATGGCAAAAAGAGTACGGCAGGGCATAAGAGTATGGCTTACAGAGTGGAGCGGAACACATTATGTCTGTGGATGGAAGGTTAGATGTGTAAATATAGAGAAGTATGTGAATCAGACATTTTCTGATGTCGAAGTTAAAGAACCGAGAGGAGGAGAGGAGAGTTCTTCACCTCGTTATTTTGTTATATCGCAACGTTTTATCATTTTATATATACGATGGCCACTCGACAGCTGAGACTGACTCAGGATCGGTCAAGTGCACGAATCGACCGAACCTCGATTCCACAGCTCCGCACCACGATCACTGCTGCACAGACTCTAGGCTTCTATTTCAGCTTCATTGTTGGACACCTGGAGGAAGCGAAGACTTGTTGTCCATCTTTATATTCAGTCTTTGGTCCGGATTTAAAAAGTAGAGCCTCTTCCGGCAGCTGCAGATCAGACCTCCACAATGTTGAGGATGAAATTTTGGACTGTTCCTCCCACACAGCTGCTCCAGCTCAGACATATTTTTAGGATGTCTGGTGTGAGTTTCTCTGCTGGGTTAAAGGGGACCTGTGCTGCTCATTTCCAGCTCTTTATTTTTATTCTGGGACTCCACTAAAGTCTCTTTGCATGATTCACAGTTCAAAATGTCTGCCTGTGCCTGTGCAGCCCCTTCAGTGGAGCCTCTGACTGAGACAGACAATATTAACTCAGGCCTCCTTCAAAACTTTCTCCGGTCGTTCTGCCGTCTCCAAACAACAGCACAGTTCATTGAGAATCCAGGAGTACATTCACTACCTGCAGTGATATTCAAGTAAACCGTTAATCTAATGTCCTGGATAACAGAGCCCCAGTGAAATCATGCACTCAACACTTATCAGATATATTTGTGAGGTTTCTTTTTCTTCCTCTAATTGCACCAGACTTCTACCGACTTATTGAAAATGAGTGTTTCCTGTGGCCATGGTATAATCCATATTTAATGCAGAGTAGTCAAGTGTGGATTAGCGAGGAAAGCTGCTGTCAGTCCACCATCACTCACAAATCCTGCCTGCGCCATTTCTCTCCACTTCCTCATCGCTCCTGAACAAAAGTAACCTCCGGCAGGTTGACCTCTTCCACTCTCACACTCCCAATGTGTTCTGCTTCACTCTGCGTTTGGTTTGAGTCACGCTGCGTTTGGTCCAGTCTGACGGATGCTGGAGCATGTCCTCTGTGTCTGTGGGTGTGTCACCCGGGGCGGGTTGTGTGGGGTCGGGCCGAGTGTCGTCCGTTGGCATGGCAGCCTGCCGCCTGTTGGTGGAATGCGATGGAGATCAATATGTTGCGTAGCCGCGGACGCTGTCTGCATGTTGGCTCCGTTCTGAAGCTGCGCATGGGGTCCTGTTTGAGTCAGCGGGCAGCATGGGCCTCCTCTTCCTCCACAACGTGCCCCGTCAGTAACGGTTAGCCCTTCTCTCTCTTCCACCCCGCCTGGCTTTATAAAGGGCCACACGCAGGTGGGTTGCCATGGAGACATACGTGCTCTCCTCTCCCTTCCTCTGTCCATCACGCAACACCAGTAGGAGCCGCTGCCAGAGAGCAATCAACACTCATACATACAGACACCAATCACACACACACACACACACACACACACACAGTAATATGACTCATCTGAAGAATCAGTGCTAAAGGTTTCCTCTTATTCTATCAACTATAAAAAACAGTCATTTTTAAATTTTTAAAATGGATTCCATGGTTGGTTTAGTGACATAAAAGTTAAAAAAGAAAGTTACAACTGTAAATTAATTTTAAGGTTTAATAAATATTTAATACAGAAACAATTTGCATGGCCAATTTAATTCATCTGAATATTTTGTTTTGTGAATAGTGAAACAGTTTATCACTTTATTTCATTACATTACTAAAAAAAAAACTGCTGCTTATTTTCCCTTTGAAACCGTATTTGTCAATTTGATTCGTAAATTAATTTGCTCCGACAGTTAACTGATTTTTAAAGCTCCGATATCGTTAGTGAGTTGAGGGAAAGAACATCCCCAAAACTCTTTCCCTGTAAATTTCCTCCCACTCGGCCTCAAACAGTTGACGGTGGGTTTCTCTGCCTTTGTCCCCAGTGGAAGGTTGAAAGAGGGTTGGAGGGCTCATTTCCTGGCTGATGTAGTGTGACATGGAGGAGGGGGAGGGAGCGCCTCTGACGGTCTTTTCTGTCTCTTTTACAGACGAGATGAACGACCACCAGAACACGCTGTCGTACGTCCTCATCAATCCTCCTCCCGACACCATGCTGGAGCTCAACGACATTGTGTAAGACTCACAGCTTGTGTTTCACTGCTCTCGCTTTGCTTCCATTCATCCAGTAAACTTTAGATTTAAATGTGTCAGTCTGCGTTAGAAAAATGTCTGTAACTTTTTTCAAAAACTGACGTCGGGATGGCCAGGAGTGTGACGCTGAGAAAGAAAAAAAGACTTGAACTTCTCCCTTAAGTTTTCTTTTTCATTTTTTACACATTTACTTGCATCATTTGTGTTGTGTCCAAACAAGTACACTGTAAATGTGGTCCTGTTAATTATCGCGTCTCACGGCTTCTCACTCTTCCCCAGTCTGGACTGTGAATTCTAACTTTTCGGTTTATTTTGCAGCTCAAGTTTTATCCAACTTTGGAGTAAATCTTCACCCTGGGGCACAGTTCCTGCTCCGTGCTGCCAGATAATGTTGATTTTCATGTCTTCAGGTACATTATCCGGTCCGACCCGCTGGCTCACATGCCGGAGGACTCGCAAGTGGGGCAGGCTCGAGGCACCAGGAATCAACAGGAGTTTGGCACAGAGACGAGAGACGAGACCCACCTCTGAAACCCCCGCCAGTGCTTCACACTCTGACCCTTAACCCTCTCAGCTCAGAGCTTGTTTGTCTCACAAAGATGAAGGTTTGTCCCGGGGCCAAGAACAAGCGTCCACAGTGAATGTGCATTAGTTGTCTCTCAGCCTCAGACCAGAAGCAATGAATATATGAAGGGACTGTGCTGAGAGACCTGCTGTTTCCCACTGAGCTGCTACAGAAGGATGCATGAAGAGTGCCTCGTCATCGCCCCCTACTCCCCCTCACACGCCCACGGAACGAGCACACGTCGCCCTCGCCAAACAACCTGAGAAGCAGGCACTGCTAACGACTCCCAAACCAAAAGTCTGAGGGATGTGATCGCTGTTGTGAGAGGTGTCAACGGTTTTCTGTTATTTTTCTTCTTCTCACTTCACTCATGCCACTCTTTTTTACTTCTGACAATTAGTTTCCTGAGCATTGAAGATAAAATATGATCAAGTGAAAAAACAGAACATGACATTTACACAGGAACGTAAAATTGAAGGTTTACGGTTAAATGGCGTCAAAAGGAAACGTGACAGTAAATCAGCTGTTTCGTTTCTTTTTATTCCCTTTTTTCCTTTTTGCTTTAATCCCTGTCCGTCGTCAGTCATGTTTTATGAAGAGAAACATCATCCATTCATACATTCACCATGAAATCATAGCACACGTGAACTTTAATTTAGTTTTTATTCTCTTTATCTGACGGGACTTTCATTGTCGTAATGATCATCTATAATTATTTACGCTACATTCACACTTTGATCAACCCACTGCGTCATCCTTCTCTGCTGTGTTTTTGGAAACTGAACTTTTTCTTGTTGTAATTGTTGAAAAGTGATTATTGTTCATTTATTTTACTATTTATTTGAATCATATCTACTCTACTGTATGTGCCATTTTTGTTCACTTTATTTCTCGTATTTTTTATATTATGTATTTAAAAGAAATTGCACATTACCAGTA